AACATTAGTATACAGATACCTGTTTGAGTCTCTGCTTTCAGATCTTTTAAGTATCTACATAGAAATGGAATTACTGGATCACATAAGAATTTTGTTTAACTTTTTGAGGAACCACCGAACTGTTTTCCATAGCAGCTACACCATTTTACATTCTCAACAGCAATGCACAAGGGTCCCAATTTCTCTTCATCTTTTCCAATACCTGTTTCTTTCTTAAATAGTAACCATCCTAATGGGTGTGAAGTGGTATCTGGTTGTGGTTTTGATTTGCATTTCCATAACGATTAGTGATGTTGAGCATCTTTTCATGTGCTTATTGGCCATTTATGTATCCTCTTTGCAGAAGTGTCTGTTCATGACTTTTGCCCATTTTTGAAATTTCTGGTTGTTGTTGAGTTGGAGGAGTTCTTTATATATTGTAGGTAGTAATCCCATATAAGATATATAATTTTCAAATGTTTTTGTTCCACAAGTATTTGAGTGACAATTATGCACCACATACTGTACCAGATGCTTGGGAAACAACAGTGAATGAGGCAGCTCATGCTCTCAGGCAGCATGAAACAGTGGAGTCAATATAGAAATAGATATAATCTCCATTTAGCAGGGCAGAAGGTTATCATATTGATTCTGAAATAAGCAAAGAAAAATGTAGTTTATTTTTTATAACTGATAATCTTTTTTTCTTGAATCCCTGCAGCATTGGGTGGATGGGTGGTGAAAGAGCTGAATTAAATTGTTATATTTAGTTATTAATTATTAAATTGAATTATTCAGTCCATTTTACATTCAATTCCCTCTCACTCTGCCCTTTTCTGCCATCTGCTTGGGAATCTGGGGCATACATTCCCTGTGATTAGGTGCTGCTATGGATTGGGTGTTAGGTGGGCTTGCTGTTCCAATCTTCCCTGGTTTCTATTCTGGGCAGCTGGTCTGCTGTGGTGCTTGCTCACCAAACCTGCAGGAACAAATCATCTGTTCTTTTGGTTGGGCTGGAGGCCAGTGTCTCTTCCTTGGTGATTTGTCTTCACTTTCTTTCTAGGAAGAGCTATAGGCCCCCAGTAAGGTCTGGTGGGCCCTGTAGCTCTTAGCTACAGGATCCACAAGGTTACTTTGCTCAACTATCCCAACTTACCAGCTCTATAGTCAGCTATTTTCCAAGGTTCCTGCTGGGCACAGAGAACTGCCATATATCTTCCAAGCCACATATTAGCTGATAGAGGCCCTCTACCTAACACTGAATTGCCATTTTTATGAGAGTTCAGTGTTGGGGCACCAGCAGTGTGTTCAACAATTTTCCTCCCAATGTACTCAATGGCAAGGGGGCGTAGCCCTCTCCCCTTGATTCTCCCCCAATCCCCTCCACAATTCAGTAGGGGTTGGGCATCAGAGGTGAGAGGACATCTGGGCCTAATCCTCTCATTTTCTCACTCACTCTTCCCAGGACTAGGAGAGCCTTAAAAATTTTTCTTTTTGCTACTCCATAACTTTTTCCATCGCAAGGTGTCATTATTTTCCTCTTCCTTGGGGCCATATTTGCAATTTAATATTTTAAAAATGTTTTATTTCACGAGGTAAATGTAATGGTAAAAATAAGAACAGACTGATAATGCAATTAAAATAACAGAGTGGTGTTACTCCCCAACCTACTCTTTGGGTATAAGGAAGAAGTGGTACCTAAACTAAAACATGAAGAATACACAGGAATTAGGTAACATGTGAAAGCTAGATAGGAGTTCAAAAGGAGTACATGGAAAGGCCCAAAGGCTGGAGGACTTCCGGTAATGCAGAATGGCTGAAACATAAAGGAGGCAATGACAAGAGCTGAAGGTGAAGTGGTAAGCTGTGGTGGTCAGATCACAAAGAGCCTTGAAAATCTTGTTTAGCAGTTCTGACTTTATCCTAAAAGCAAGGGAAAGCCTATGTTTTAGGCAGGGAAAGGACATGATAAAATGTATGCCGTAGCAAGATTACTTTGATTGAGAGATTAATGCATATGAAGAGGGCAACATTAAGGGCCACAAATTTCCCCTCACTCAGGGATTAGCCACAATCTTGAATTTTGCCAGTATAAGCTGGAAAAATATTGGTTTGGAGGTAGGGTCACAACAGCATATTTAAGTGTTGATGGGTTGGATGCAGAAGGAAGGCAGAGAGTGAAGAAACAGAAGAGAGGAAGAATGACTGGCAATCAAGGCCCTTCAGAGGTGAGAATGCTGAGGCTCAGAGGGGAGAGAACCCTCTCTCATTCTCAGAGGAGGGAGAGGAAATGATGGGTAAAGTGTAAATAATTTGGCAAATTGAGTAGCAAGAAGTTGTAAGAGCTCTTATCTTTTTTTTTCCTTTAATGCAGGAAGCAAAAGCATAGTTGTTTGCCCATAAGAAGGAAGGTGACAAAGGATTAGTATGGCAAACATGGTTGGCAAACCCCATGTTGTCCTCAGCTCCCATCTGCCCTGCTGTCCCTCTAGAGTTTGAAAATGCTTACCCTACCAGACACACCAGCAACAAGGAAGCATAAGCCCGATTTTGGTAGGGTTTTTGGAAAGCTTTTGCTTAGCATGGCTGACTGTCTCTTCTTCCTGACTTAATCCCAGTTTCTAGAGCTGTCACAGCTCTCTCAAAAATCAGACAAAATAACATGAGATAAAGCTAAACCAGTTGTCATCCAGCTGCTGATTGAGAGCCAGCAACCCATCTTCCAGATTTCAGGTTGAAAATTCCTATTTCTTTAGACCACCAAAGATGGGTTTTGCATCCAGAAGCATTCCTAACACAGAAAGGCTTGCTATGTTAAGCCACTGTTGCAAGGAGTGGCTTAACTCCTTACATCTTGAAGGTCCAGATGAAATGAAATCCATAAATCAATACTAATTTCATTTTGGAGTATTTACTATCCCTGAAAATTAATCAGTATAATGGGGGTGCTAATAAAATGTTAATTTTAAAAATTGAGGTTAGCTCAACTAATTTTCCTTTTACATAAACTAGTACCATTAACATATTAGGATACCCACATAACTGCAAAATAATTCGAGGTACACAGAAACACCCTTTAAAAATTAATCATATACTTCGATGATATGATTCACACCACTTTCTGGTGGATACATTCAAATTATTCACAATAAAGAGAGTGCAACCTTACAAAGTTGATGGCAGCATCAAGTGAAGATGAGTGCTTCCTTCAAAATACTTGATTTAGATTCTGTCATCTTATTCACACAGAACCTAAGAAACTCTGTAATTAAGCAGTAATTCACAATATACACATCTCTGAGGCATTTGCTATTTCAATAGATTGTCTGTTCCTCTCTTTAATTACAAAGAGAATGAGCCTCAAATTAAAAAAGTATCCTACATTTTTAATGACTGGAAATACAGGGAACTCAATATATATTCATATTCACTAAAGCTACAAATCATAATCACTATCAGAAAATTCTATAATAAAATTTACATTCACTTCTCCTCCTACTAATCTTATATTTATCAGCATACTAACTAAGCAGAGTGTGGTAATTCCACATATCTGAAGCTCCTCTAAGCCAATTTCTGGAGTTACTCTAAGATATGGTTGGAATTTCTGAGAATGATGAGTTTTACACTTTGTGAGGAACCCAACCAGGAAAAGAAGTTGACTATGAGCCTCTATCCTATTCCAAGGACTTTGATTTCTGATGTTTGCCTCCATACTGGGTAACTATAGCACCATGGAAAACATAATACAAGTATTCTTGTAATAACATTACAGAGTTTTATCAAGAATCTCTGGAAAAGAGATCATTATGTTGTTTGTATACTGTCAGAATAATTTTAATAATGTATTAATCAGTAATTTTAAACAGGGAATCTGGCTGACTTAAATACATATAAAAAATATAGCTACTCATATCCCATAGATAAGCCAAATAAAATATCCCATAAATGTTGTCTTGACACATATAAACTATAATGGTTAGGTTCAACAGTTGTTTATAAGGAACTGCAGTGGACCCTTTGAATTGAACTTCAGTGATTTGTTCATATGTACAAGAGCATCAAAATCCAGGGTCTCATTTCATAACAGTGTGTCTAGAAGCTCATCTTACTAAGAATACAGAAGACTCTGAAAAGGTAGTCTTATGATGCTTGTAACATATTCATAGGTAATTTAGTCCAGAAAAGGGAACACTGAAGCATTGTCATCAGCAGTTAAGGGCTTCCTCTTCCAGTTAAGCTGTGGTACATTTCTCCATCACACACTGCACCTGCCAACACTTGTGGTACAACAGTCTTGTTAGACAATTTCATTCATCTCCCTTTTTTCTTTACATTAAGATGATCATTTACCTTATAGAAGTACCCATAGAATAATATTGTTATGAAAACATTCCTTATGTTTAGCGTGTTTAGACTCCTTGTAGGCATGCAGTCTTATAGTGTTTCCATTGAATTATTTCCAAATTACATTGTGAACAAGATTATTTTTTTCCGAAACGAGAAATTAACTTGGTATCATGAATAGTACAGAGGCTCTTGTGACCTTTCATAAGCGATTAAGGCCCTTTCTCTGCCTCCTGAAAGTGACCTGAGACATGTCAGCCTAGTCTTGAAGTACAAATTCTTTTGGGCCTCTGCAATCCTATGTTCATATTTTGAATCTGGTAACAAAAGACAAAATAGGATTTTTTTTTTTTTTTTTTTTTTGAGATGGGAGTCTTGCCCTGTCTCCCAGGCTACTTCAGCCTGGGAGTGCAGTGACACAATCTCAGCTCATTGCAACCTCTGTCTTCTGGTTTCAAGCAATTCTCCTGCCTCAGCCTCCTGAGTAGCTGGAATTACAGGTGCACACTGCCATGCCAGGCTAATTTTTTTGTATTTCAGTAGAGACGGGGTTTCACCGTGTTTCCCAGGCTGGTCTCTAACTCCTGAGCTCAAGGACTCTGTCCACCTTAGCCTCTCAAAGTGCTAGGATTACTGGTGTGAGCCATTGCATCCAGCCAGGAATTTTCTTTTAAGAGTGCTTTAATCTTTGGTCTTTAGAATTCTAGTGCTCAAGTTATGAAATGGAGGAGGATATCTATTTTTACACTGAGTAACTCACACATTCCTTCTCAATGAGGGAAAAAATGTATTTGTCTAAGAAGATATATACTAGTTCATTATATGTGTTAATAATGAAAATAGTAGAACATGTCTGAGAATGTCTTTTCAAGGGCTGTATAGCGATGGAAATCTCAATTAAGCTTTGGAATCCGAAACATCAGAATTGACACAGCATTGATAAGCAGAAAAGCAAATAATGCTGACATGAGATTTTCAACCTTCTCTCCTATGGCTTTTATGACCCTTGAAAGGAGACTGGTGTCAACTAAGACCACTGATTTGTACTAAGGAGTGTTTGCACCTTGTGTCTTCCCTTGTGCTAAAATAGCTCTGAGTAAATGCTTTGATTCCCTCAAGGTACTTATGGGACTTTTTTCCTCATGTTTCTTTTCCTATGTCTGAAAAGATTCAAGCTCTGACTTAAGGCTTTGCCACAGTCATGACACTTGTAGGGCTTCTTGCCAGTGTGGGTTCTTCAATGTTGAATCAGAATCGAGCTTCAACTGAAAGCCTTTGCACACTCGTCACATGCATAAGGTTTCTTTCCACTGTGGATTCTCTGATGTAAAATAAGGGCTGAACTCTGACTAAAGATGTTGCTACATTCATCGCATTTGTATTATTTTTTCTGAGAAGGGTTCCCTTGTCTTCTTTCAAACTTACCATCTTGTTCACAGGTTCTTCTGTATGTGGAACTCTGGGAGGCATTCATATGAAGGCTGTTGGAAGCATCGTAATGCAGTTCTATGCCTGAAGAAGTCTTTTTGCCTTGAAGCAGATTTCACAATTATAGTTTTGATGTCTTCATCTGAAATAGAAAAACAAATGTCACCAGGAAAGAGAGAGAATGATCCAAGTTAAATATACATGATTATTAGCTAGCAGATTTATAAAACAACACACATTATGGAGGATGGAGAGTGTATGACAAAATATTGAGAAAATTATATAAGACAAAGAGAAAGGTTTACATACTGAGGAGGCAGTCAACTAAACTATAAAGATGCAAAGCTCTGTGGAAAAGACAGAAAAGGGAATAAGGATTAAAAGGTATGTCAGAGACTAAGGAAAGTCTGGAGGAAAGAAAGGGCTTAAAAAGAAGGAATGATTGGAGATGCAGACAGACAAACAGAAGTAGAGGAATCCGATGTGGCAGTGGGAGTAAGAAATGAGATTTAGTACTGGAGTATCAATAAACAAACAAAAGCTTAATAATCATAAAGGATTCAATAACTATGCCAAGAAATGAGCTGAAGAAAGCCAAGGGGCCAAAAAGGAATGTGGAAAATAAAGTAAGAAAATATAAGTTAGGCAAATAAAGGGAAGATTATAGACTAGGATAACTAGCACCTCAAAAGATCAAGTACCCATCGAAGAAATATCTCTGCTCCTGTATGGATTTGATATTACTGGTTGAACAGCTGTCTGTTGTATTATTCTATATTACCTTTAACGTCTACGAGAAATGTACGTGGCTGCTTATGGGCTGTGGCCACTCAGGCAGCACACAAATCTGGCTTGATGCAGAGGCCCTTATGACTCAGGGTGCCTGAAGCTCCAGCAGAACTGCTAACTCGGATGTGAAAATGCCAATGTAATTTGGATGCATTACCTGAAGAAATCACTTCAGTTATCCTCATGGTGGCATTTTAACTGAAGCTGCTGAAAGATAGGAGCTTAAAATGAGTTTATAAAAGCAAAGTACAACAGTTTTGGACATGTCTGGGGACATGACTTGGCTGGGGCTGTGACTACTGGGGATGCCTTTATCTGAAGTAATTACATAAATAAGATTAAAAGGAACCCAGAGAGGTACTGATGATAAGTGATCCTTTGGGCCCTCCTGAGGCCAAATAAAAATGATGGGGTGAGAAAGGAGGTCTGGGGAGAATAGTCAGTGACGGAGTGTGATACTGAGTAAGAAAACTATGAGTTGTTGTTGTTTTACTCTTTAGAATTTAATTGAAAATGGCTCTACCTGCTGTCTCTACAATCTCCTTAGAATCACCCAACACAAGCTCAAATCTTAACATGAGCCCTTCCCAATTCCTTCTTAATAACAAACCCCATAGTTTCCATGGCGTGTTCTCTTTTCTGCTGCAGCAAACTAAATAAACCTAACTGAAAAAGCTACATAAAAATCAAATCAAATGGACCTAAATAGTTATTACAAAAGGAATTTAAAATTATTTCTTGTATTTATTCACAAAGGTGGTATCTCAGTCCATTTTCTGTTGCCTAGAATAAAACACCTGAACCTGAGTAATTTATTTATAAAAAGAATTTATTTCTTATAGTTATTGAGGCTGAGAAGTCATAGGTGAAGGGGTATATCTAGTGAGAGCCTCCTTGCTGGTGGAGACCCTCTGAAGAGTCCTGAGGCAGTAGAGGGCATTTTATGGTGAGAGGGCTGATCACACTAATATGCTAACTCAGCCCTTTCTTTCTCGTCTTATAAAGTTACCAGTTTGACCAGTATGACTCATTAATCCATGAATGAGCTAATCCATTCATGAGGACAGGGGTGATAATCCAATTACCTCTCAAAGTTCTCACTTCTCAATACTGCCACATTTGGGATTAAGTTTCAACATGAGTTTTGGAGGAGACAAACACACAAACCATAGCATATGGCATACTCATTTATTATTACTAGTTTAAGTGGAAATCATTTTATAAATGGTTCTGTCTCAAATTCATTTTCAATTTATTCCAAAGTGACCTCAATGATTAGTCATTACTATCAAAATCCTGGCATCAATTAGTACTTTACAGCACTAAGACCGAGGTCATCTCCTAGAAGCTTTGATAAGACATGACTCAGTACCACAGAAGTCATTTTGTGGCCTTAAATGGCTGTATTATTCTATCACATGATTCTGGTTCTCTCTGCCTTGTATTGCAAGATCCTGGACCCTTTGCATTCTGTTTCAAATTTCTATGAATCTTAGAAAAATGTAGGAAAGGGCTCCATGAGGACATTCACAGGTAGAACGTGGTTCTTGCCACACCTGGCCTTCAGGTTGGTCACTTCTCTAGTCACCACCACACCAAGCTGCTGAGTCTGGGATGGTCTCCCTTTCTTTCCTGATGAAAAATACTTTTTCCTGAAAAGACTTTCACTTTTCTAAGTAAACCAAGACAATTTCTAGACTGGAGGTATTAAGTGTCCCAGTATAAGCCTTTTGAGAGCCAGTACTTGCCAAGTAAAGGTGAACAATGTTTTCTAAATCTCTTTTTAAATTACTGCATTTTCTTTGTATAGTTTCTTATAAAAATTCCCTCAGAAAAACTCTAACCTTGCTTAGCTATCAGCTATGAACTATGGAAGCAGTGCTGGAGAGGGGAGGAAATCCTCCTAAGTAGGATTTTCCTCTTAATCTGTGGCTCCTATTTTATGCAGGATAATCATCTAGAAGGAGCGTTTCTGCTTAAATGTTACTTCATCAGCGAGGCCTTCCTACCACTCTATGTAATAAGATCTTATCCCCACTATTCTGTTTAAAGTAGGATGGCCCTTTTATCAAATGAAATTTTACAGAGTTCCAATATATATAAAACAGATGAAAACACAGCTACTCTGTCTGACGCAGGAGCAAGTAGTTCCAGCCTACAAGGCCTGTAACTCAGCCTTATTTCCACTTCTTACCTTCATCTAACCCCCTTATTCTTTGTTTTGTTTTTGTTTTTCCCCATAGCTCTTTATTTGTTTAGTATCTGCAATGGAAGAACAGATTGCTACACAGCTATTTTGGAGCACTTGTAGAAAGTGATGCAAAGAGGAGTTGAGGCCAGTTGAGGATGTGAGGAAGTTGAGAAATGTATTTAAAGCACATAAGACAGCAAAGTCACCTTAGCAGCAATATAGGCAATTTTGCTACTAGATCCCACCAGTAACTGAGCAGTTATATAGGAAATGATGATGAGGATCAGTGGTCTCTAGACTGTATACCTTAGGGTCCCACAGAAGGGCCTCAAGGGCTGCCTGAAGATAAAGGGCTACTTTAAAAAGGCTTGAAAACCCTGCTGGAGATGATGTCAAGGATTTAAAATCTGAAGACTTTATAAGAATCTCTGAAAAATAAGCCAGAACAAAATACTGAAGATCTTCATTTAGTAGGACAAATAACAGAAGTTCCCACAGTGAGAAGGAGATGAGAAGGCGGGATTTGAGGCTTCTTGCATAAATCATCAGAGATGTGTGTGGTGAGCAGAAGGCCCCCACACCTTCCACCATGAACTGAATTCTCCCCCTCACCATGTGGTCTTAAGGACTGAAGCTTCCATGATGCTCCCTGGAGCTACTTCTTCACAGGCATGAGCTGGCTACTTGGCAATTCCTCAGTGATTTCTGAAGGTGCTAGCTTCTCTGCAATCATGTCCTTCCTTTGTCCATAAAAGACCTAACTGAGGCTGAAGAACACTATCAGGTTGGGACTTGAGGATAAAATAACAAAGAAGACACTATGCAAAAAGTATCCTGGACACAGGACAATGGAGGAAAAAAGTAGAGCCACCTTCTATTTGCTGGGACACCCATGAGTACTTTCACCCCTAAACATCCAGTTGTGCTGAGTCGGAATACAGTTTGAGAGCTCAACTCCCAGTGATGTGCCCGGGCTCTTGATTCAGCCTGGTGGTTCATCTCCACAGGCATCCTTCTTATCTGCTCTGGTCCATCAAGCTCTCTTTCCACATCCTCCAGCATAGTCACAGCTTCCTTTCCATTCTCTGGATGATGGTTCTGCACTCAGGCCTGCAGTTCTTTTGGAAGGATGGCCAGAAACTGCTCTAGCACCAGCAGCTCCAGGATCTGCTCTTTGGTGTGCATCTCTGGCCTCAGCCAGAGATGACAAAGTTCCCAGAGCCGCCTAAGAGCCTCCCGGAGCCCAAGTGAATCCTGGTAGCTAAACTGCCTGAACTGCTGGCAGAAGGTCTCTGGGCTGTAGCTGCTGCTCCAGTGGAGGATAGAGTCCAGATCACAGGTCTGCTTTTCCTCTTCCATCTTCACTGTCAGAATCCCATCACATTCTTCTGAAGTTTGTGTTAGGAGTGATGATGACTTTCCCAATTTTGTAGACATTTTGACAGGCAAATAGCTCAGTACTGTTAGGCTTTAATCCTCCAGGAGGTGGAGCTCTCCTTATGGACACTCCTTAAATATGATTAAAGAAACAAATGGAAAGAAGACAAAGACAAATACTTCTCCGAACAAAACAACTAAATTTGAAATGTAAGACTGCATAGGAAATACTGACCCTAGTCTTAGGCTTTAATCCTCCAGGAGGTGGAGCTCTCCTTATGGACACTCCTTAAATATGATTAAAGAAACAAATGGAAAGAAGACAAAGACAAATACCTCTCAGAACAAAACAACTAAATTTGAAATGTAAGACTGCATAGGAAATACTGACCCTAGTCTTAACAGAAACCATGTTTATTTTATTTTTTTCAGACGGAGTCTCGCTCTGTTACCTGGTGTGTAGTGGTGGGATCTCCGCTCAGTACAACCTCTGCCTCTCGGGTTCAAGCGATTCTCATGCCTCAGCATCCTCAGTAGCTGGGGCTACAGCTCCATGCCTGGTTAATTTTTGTATTTTCAGTACAGATGGGTTTTCACCATGTTGGCCAGGCTAGTCTTGAACTCCTGACTTCAGGTGATCCACCTGCCTTGGCTTCCCAAAGTGCTGGGATTACAGGCATGAGCCACCATTCCTGGGCCTGAAACCATGCTTTTAAATAATATTTCTTTAAGAGAACCAAACAGCTAAGACTCATTACTTCATATACATAGTGATTCACAATTCATTCTGAAAACCATACACACAAGGCTACTGAATATTACAATAAGAGATCAGCCAGGATTGCACAGAAGCTCCCAGATAAAGGGAAGCCTGGGAAATGCTATGACTCTGGAGCCAGTTCAAAGACCCCATCAGTTTTTAGTCTGCTACAAAGAGCTCAAAGTAATAGTCTCATGAGGGAAGTACTTTTGTGTGAGTTTTTTCAAGTTTTACTGTTAAAACATCATTTCAACGTTAAAGGAACCATTAAAAAAACACACACACAATCAGCTGGGCACTATGCTCCTGCCTGAAATCCCAGCACTTTGGGAAGCCAAGGTGAGAGGTGGGAGGATCACTTGAACCCACGCATTCAAGACCAGCCTGGGCAACATAGTGGGACCCCATTTCTACAAAAAAAAAAAAAAAAAAAAAAAAAAAAGAAAAGAAAAAGGAAAAAGAAAAACAACAATAATAAAGGCAATCACACTTTCCTCAATCTGAATGTATTTCCATTTTTCTTCCATATCCATATTATTTACTTATCTATTTTAAAAATTTAGGTTGTTTCTAATTTCACTATTACAAGTAATGCTGTGAGGCACATCTTTATGAATATATTATTTTTCTCCTTTAAAATTATTTCTTCAAGCATGTCCCAAGGCATCTGCTTGTTGGGGATCAAAGGAGAATAGCAAATTCTGTCTTGCTATGTGTTATCAAAATAAAAATTGCAAAACACTGTATCAATTCACAATTCCGCACAATCATAGTGACTTGTGAAGACAATGATTTCTGCAAGTATTATTAGCTTGTTAGCAAGAAAGGGGTAAAGATGGCACTTTATTTGGTATCATTTTACTTTTAAGTATCACCAGTAACTAATTGCATTTTTTTTTTTTTTTTTTTTTGAGATAGAGTCTGTACTTCACCCACGCCGGAGTACAGTGGCGTGTTATTGGCTCACTGCAACCTCCACTTTCCGGGTTCAAGTGATTATCTTGCCTCAGCCTCCCAAGTAGCTGGGATTACAGACATCCATGGCCACGTGGGGCTAATTTTTGTAATTTTAATAGAGACGGGGTTTCACCATGTTGGCCAGGCTGGTCTCGAGCTCCTGACCTCAGGTGATCCTTTTGCCATGGCCTCCCAAAGTACTTGGAGTACAGGAGTGAGGCACCGCGTGCGGCCTAAACACATTTTTAAAATTGGGTAGCAGGTATATGATAGTGTTTGCACAGCTTCAACAAATAATGACTACTTTAAAAATCTTACATCCGCCTCTATCTTCCCCTTATGTATCCTGCCATTTGATTTATTTTCTCACTTCAAGTACTGTTCTAGGTATTAAAGAAACAGCAGTGCCTGTATAAAGCTGTGAGTTCATAAAGCTTGTTAACAAATTAATGATACAATTTTATGCAATGATGTGCTATGAAACAAATAATAGCAGACACACGTATTAATTTATTATGTGCCAAGCACTGTTCTGAACACTTTAGTAAAAATAAAAGTTAAATCCTCATAAAAACCCTAGATTTTTATCCTCATGTTGTAGACGAAGATGCAGTCACAGCAAAGCCAGGTACTCTGGCCAAGGGCAAAGCTGGGGTCTGAATCCAGGCCATCCACACTTATCCATGGTACTACGTGGTTAAGAGGCCAAAGGCAGCAGCGGCCCCTGGGGTGACCCTCTGCGCTTTGTCCCAGCGCAGAGGAGGAAGCAGCAGCAAGCAGCTGCACTCCCAGATGAAATGGGGCCAGAAGAGTCTGGGGGGCGAGACTCGAGAGTCGGGAAGGGTTGAGGTCACCGGTTTGGAGCTGTCAGGTACCCTAATGGATACATGAGGGATCCCGGCCTAAAGCAGCCTCTGGAAGAGAGTGGCTGCCCTGTCGCTTCAGCACCAGGAGCAGAATCTGCTCTAAATCTGAGCACGGAAGGAACCCTCGACACCGCACAACGGGGTCCCTGGCGGGGAGGCTTCGACCAAAGCCCGGGACGCCGGGGTCTTTCCGCGGGGGAAGCCGCCCTTGGCTTGCCTTCGCTGTGGCTAGGTGGCTCCGGGAGGGCTGGCGTCCGACAGTCTCCTGACCTCCTGCGCCCACCCCGCCTCCGGGGCTAGGAACCGCCAGGGCGAGGCGGCGGACGACGCGTGGGGCCGGCAGGGGGCGCGGGTTCAGCTGGGAGGGAAGACGCCGGTGGTCCGCGGAAAAGGACAAGGGGAAGGGGTGAGCAGACGCGAGGGGAGGAAGCGAGGTGGCGGGAGCGGAGAGGAGCGGGCTGGGGAACTGGGACGCGTGTGGAGGGCGCTGCACTGGCCCGCGGAGGGAGGGGTGGCGCGGAGTCCGCGGCCGCTTCTCCGCGTCCCGGCTCCGCCGCCCGGGGACCACCGCTTCTGACCGCGGCCTGGGGCCCCTCAAGACGCCTCTGCTCTCACCTCCCGGCGGGGAAGAGCGGACCGGACGCCGTCGGGAGAAACCAGGTAAGTGACCGCTTCGCAGCAGCTTCCGGTCTTGGCGGCGGGTGGGGGCGGGGCCGGGAACGCGGGAACGTTGTCACGGAGACGAGGCGCCGCGGTCCCGCACTTGGGGCTGGGATTGAGACCGGGTGGCTTGACCGGTGGGAATCCTGCTGTTCTGCTCAGTGTTCCGTTCAGTAAGCTGGCATTATTGCTTCGGAAAGTACTTTTCCTTACATTATTCCTTTACTCCGATAACTCAGTAAGGTTATTCCCATTTTACGGAAGATAAACTCAAATATCCTGTGACTTGCCAAGGATTACAGAGAGGGTCGAACGGTGTACCGCTGAGTACAGTCCCTAATACCATTCCCACTCCTGAAGTGGTTACACTCCAAGTACTGACGTTTTAAGGGTCAGGTTTGACATCTGCAACCCCCATGCTTTCGCAGGAGAACACAATAGCTCTTGAAAAGATGAGAACCGACCCACATAAATTTTGTCACAATATATACGCATATATTTCCTCAGATAATCTTAAACGGAATTGAAAAATAAGTTTGAGTCTGGGTGCGGTGGCTCATGCCTGTAATCCTAACACTTTGGGAGGTCGAGTTGGGCAGATCACATGAGCCCGGGAGTTCGAGAGCAGCCTGGCCAACATGACGAAACTTCATCTGTACAAAAAATACAAAAATTAGCCGAGTGTAGAGGCGCGGCATGTAGTCCCCGCTACTTGGGAGGCTGAGGTGTGAGGATCACCTGGGTCTGGGGAGATCGAGGCTGCAGTGCCATAGCTAAGCCACTGCCCTCCAGCCTGGGCGTCAAAGAGAGACCCTGTCTTAAAAAGAATAAAAAATAAAAATAAAGTTTGAGCCTAAATGCACCACAGCCCCATCTAGTGGCTTCCTCTTCTAGCCCCTTTCCCTAGGGATTCCCGGAAAATGTAACAGGAATTAGGGAGAGGTGCTTGAAAACCACTTGCTAATTAATAACAATAACAACAACAAAAAATACCTTTTGGTATGACAGCTCCCCAAAAAGTATGTTACTACTGGAGTCTGAAGTGAAGAAAAAAGAGGCTGGTTCACTCAGTCGATGACCCTAGGGAACTAGGGAGAGGTCTGGATCCCAACTAATGTACAATGAAACTAAATTTGAAGAAATTCTTGCTTCAAACAAGGGGCTTTCACAGGATAAGACTTTTTACTGAGGCACCTGCCAACACAAATGGCAAACAGCCCAAAAGCGCAGGTGGGAATGTGTTTCTGGTGCTGGTGGGTAGGGTAGGTTAAATGACTCATGGCAGTGGAGAATTTGAAACAAGGATAATGCTTGGCAGTGGCGTGCAGTCACAGGAGACAATTTAAGGGGAATATGAACAACAGTCAAAAGCTTCAAGAAGGAGGAACTGTGGGAGGTGGCAAGAGGTCATGGATGATGAATTCATGGGTATGGTCCACCAAACAGCTAGATATCAGAGGCCAAAGTTAAAAACAACAACACAAAAAAGGGAACAGACATAAAAGATTGATTAGAAAAGTTTCACAGGTAGGTAAAGCAAGAACAGGTTTTGTTTGCTGTTTTAATTTTTTTTTTAATGTTTGGGGGTAGAGTGGAAAGAAATTAGCAGGAACAAGGTCCTAGTAGAGTGAGCACCTACTACATACCAGTTGTAAACACTGGGAATTTTCAATGGTAAAATATAGATTCTTGCTCTTTAGGGGCTAATAGATTAATTAAAAAGAAAGTTGTGTCATCTGACTTTTCTAAACAATGTGGCAATGTTCTGATGGTGACAACTGCAGGATACTATAAAAGCACAAAGAAAGGGAGGTCCTGGGGGAAGATTGGGATTGGAGTTGATGGAGAAAGCTGGTGTTGGTACGTTTGAGACTGAGGTACCAGTGTGGGGTATTAGATTTGATGGATTAAAGTATGGC